CAACACCTTTCTGTATACACAGGGTGAGCAAATGTAGGTTTATAGTTGTTCATATGCAAAACAATACAATAATTCTATATAATAAAGAGCTAATATGCTAATTAGACCAAACAGCAGAACGACTGTTTGGATGACCTTCGGGATGAAGCTGGGGCTGCAAGGGCTGAGCCCTTTGCATGAATTTCGTGCATCAGGCCTCTAGTTAATAAGTAATAATATAAGAGTAAACTGTGTTTCACGTACTCACAACTGTAACCCTACTTTTGCCCAGCCTATATTTAGAGGAGGGATCAACATAGGATCACCCATGTTTAATTTCAATTTTTTAAACATATTTTTATTTTTTCAGGGAGGAAGGGAGAGAGAGAGAGAGAGAGAGAGAGAGAGAGAGAGAGAGAGAGAAAAACATCAATGATGAGAGAGAATCATTGATTGGCTGCCTCCTGCACACCCCACCCTGGGGATCCAGCCCACAGCCCGGGCATGTACCCTCACTGTAAATTGAACCGTGACCTCCTGGTTCATAGGTTGATGCTCAACCAATGAGCCATGCCAGCCAGGCCCAATGTTTAATTTTCAATTTTGCCAAATTAGGAAAGAGAAACAGGGAACGTCTGCTGGCACCGCAATTTTAGAATGTCTTCCCTTCAATACCCCAAAAGCTGGAAGGATGTGTGCAGAGGAAAGGGAACCCTCTGCATGGCATCCAGGGGGCTGGATGAAACTCCCCCTGGTGCCCAGAATTAGTTACACTGCCCTGGGCCGGGGGTGGGGTGGGGTGGGGAGCTGGTTTTGTCCCCAGTAGTGGTGGTCTGAGTGGAAGGATTTGGGAGGTCAAGATGCAGGAGGAAGTGTAGCTCAGCAGTGATCGCACAGCAGAACCTTCTAACAGGGAGCTGACCAGGCTGGGCCGAATAAGGAGGTAGTGAGTTCCCAGACATTGCAGGTATCCAAGTGCAGGTTGGAGGAGAGGATTTAAAAAGAAAATGCCATCAGAAGGGGCTGGGACAGAGCTAGGCAGCTCCTTTAGGACTGCTGGACCACTGCTCAGAATGGCAGGTCGTGCCCAGGGCATCTGAGAACACAGACTACTTCCTGCCCATCACCCGTGGAGGAAGAGCCTGGTTGTCAACACCCCCACCCACATGCATGTGGCTGCTCCCCAGAGACTTGTCTCACCCCCACTGGCCTTGCGTGTGTGGAACCCCTGCCCTGGGGCATGAACATGGAAGCCCAGGGTTTGCTCCTGCCAATAGTAATTGGGCCCAAACCACCTTCCCTGCAGGGGCATGCCCAGAACTGGCCTTTGGAAGCAGGTAGACTCCTGAGGGCTGGAGGCAGTGCTTTTAACAGGCCTGGCAGGCAATGCTCGGTGGGAGGAACAGAGGCAGGTCAGGATCCCGGGCGCCAGAGGACCTGGGTGCTGGGCTCACTTTCACCCCAGAGCCGGAACCTGTCCTGGGGCTGGTGCTAAACGCAACCCTGGTGTTTAATGAAGCAACCACCATTTATAATGACTCACAGTGTACCGGGATTTGCGATAAATACCCAACCAGTGTTATTTCTTTTAATCCCTGCAACACCCTTTGAGGTAAGAACTCATTTATATTTTACAGATGAGGAATCTGAGACGTGAAGAAGGGAAGTAAACAGCTTGTGTAAGGTTTGCCCAGCCCCAGTGACGAGGCTAGATTGGCTCCTTACTCAAGTCTATCAGCCTCGATTTTCTCATCTGTAAAATGGGGCTAAAACAGTCATCTCCTGGGGGTCAATTGGGAGCATTAAAGGTTCTACTATCAAATGCTCAGAACAGTGCCTGGATAGAGTACGTGAGTAGAAATTCTCATGCCTCCTATTTCTAATCCTAACCACACCCCTTGACACTCATTGATTGTTTAAATCCCTGGAAGCCTCAGTCTTCCAGCCTGTCTAATGGGGCTGCTACTCCTTGACCTTCATTTTCTGAATGTACTGAAAACTATTTGGGAAACTGAAGCCAGATGTAGGGATTTCTAGATCCCCGAGGGTCAGTGGTGTACTGGAAGTGGCCTGTGCCAGCTAGGGGCAGCTGGTTGTTAAATTTTCAGGATTTTGTCCAGCTGGTTGCTAAACTCAGGCATTATTAAAAATTAAAGTACATAAAGTTACAATGAAATAACTTACATTAAAAACAGGAGTGATAAATACTCAAAATTCATCACATCCCAGTGATTTCACGCTTTTTTACTATTATCCATACTCTTGAGGTTATTTACATATGTGGTTGGTCCGGTGTCAATACTCTACAGTGGTTTGCTACTGTGTATCTCTTTCTAATCCACATTCAGTGACAACACGTTGGCAGCCTGAAACTGGGAGTGGGAGAAATTACACCATGGAAATTGTACCTGCTTCCTAGCAGGGCTCTCCCGCACCCCATGAGGAAGCCGGCTGTTAAACATTTACTAGCACCCTACTGCTTAAACACAACGGGGTTACCACCCTAACTAGGCTGAAATCGGTGTCTCTCCAACCCTACTCCTTCCAGCCTGGGCCTCCCCAGAGTAATGCTCCCCTGAACAGGGACAGGGGTTCACATAGAAATCCTACAAAACATGTAAGGGGCCCAGGTTAGGACCCAAGGAGAGACACCATAGAGTAGCAAGGTGCAGGGACCCCACATTCATCGCATTCCTATTTATAATGCATGGAGTTGTAGAAAAAAATATTATTAGCTTAGTTACATTCTCTGGAAAATCCCTCAAAACAGGTATCCCTCACTTTCCAAACTCAGGAGCCAAAACGAGGTGGAGAGTGAGGGACGCTTGTATTTTCCCCTTTTGTATGGCAGAGAAAACAGAGAAGTTCAGTAGGTCGCTAAGGCTGCTTGTCATCTCCCCCAGGGCATGGCCCCCTGCTCCTCTGAGTCTACAGAAAGTCCCTTCTTCAGGAGGCCTGGTCCCCGAGCCCCCCGCCTGGCACCGGGCCCCTGGTCCTTACCCAAGACTTCAGGCTCTTCTTTCCTTCTCTGTGAGGTAGTGCTCTGGGTGGGCTCTGCCCACGGGCCACCCGACCCTGTGGGGAGCAGCTGGAAGGTGGGGTCCAGTTCCAGAATCATCTGGTTGAGGCTCTCCAGTGAGAAGCCAATGTAGGAGTCCTCCAGGGCCCCTGAGGGCTGCTCACCAGGGGACCGCAGGAGGCAGCTGGCTTTGGCTCCAGCCTGGGGGGCCTGCTGGAGCCTGTTGGGGGGCTCCTTGCAGGGCGTGGAGGCCATCAGGGCCTGGGCTCCCCAGCCTTCCGTGGTGTAGTAAGGATACGGGGGCGGCAGGGTGGGGCTGGGTGCTGGGTGCAGGACCCTCCTGGGTTCCTCGCAGGGAGGCAAGCAGACGGCGTGGCCGCCTGCCAGCAGGGATCTGGGCATCACCTGCGACATGGCAGGGGCAGCGACCTGGCGGTGCAGCTCCGGCTTCTCACCAGCCTCACTTAGGACCCAGAGGTGTCACTTGCCAACCAGGAGCTTTGCAGGACCTGCAAGAGGCCAGGGTGGCAGCTGAGTGTCTTTTGTAGATGAAGCCCCTGCCTTCCCCCTCCAAAATGAGGGCATATCCATTCATTCATTTCATGGATGCTGGAGCCAGGCTGCCTGGGTTTGCATCCTGGCTCCACCCCTTACTAGCCGTACACCACCGGGCAGGTTAATTCACTTCTCTGTGCCTCAGTTTCCTTCTCTGTAAAATGAGTTAATATCTGTAACATGCAGAGAATAGTGCCTGGCACAGAGTAAGCATTATGCAAGTTATTGTTAAATATAATAACGTCAGTAGCAGTTTATTAAATATTCTCTATGTCCCAGCCTTATTTGTTAAATAAATACTAGCTAATGTTTACTGAGCAATTTCTGTGTGCATAGGCACTGGTGTTTACACACAAAGTCTTTTAAAACCCTCATAACAACCCTCTGAGGTCACACTATAATTACACCATATTACAATGTGAGGATGGAACACAGAGTGGGGAGGAACTTGCCCAGGGGTGCGTGGCCGACCAGTGTCAGAGCAGGGCCGGACCCCAGGCTGCCTGATGTCTGAGCCCCTGCCTTTAGCTGCTACTTCCCAGGGGCCAGTGTGTGAACCCAAGTGAGCAGGTGAGCAATCATAAGCAGTGTCACCAGGGAGGAGGGGGAGCAGAGGGGACTTGGTAGGGACTGGTGGGGAGGTCAGGGAGGACTTCCTGGAGGAAGAAGCGTGTAAAGGGAGGCAAGAAGAAAAAGCAGGAGCTAGCTGGCCAGGTAGGTGGGGATGAGGCAGGTGTTTTCAGAAGCCTGATAGTCAGGGGGGATCAGGAGGCATTACTGAGCGCCCGGGAAACAGGGAACTCCTAGGGTAGATGGAGGAAAAGATGGGGTGGGAGTGAGAAGGGGCAGGCTGGCCAGACCCTGCAGAGCCTTGCAGGCTGGGCTCAGTAGTGCTGTCTCAACCCTGAGGGCAAGGGCGAGCTACAGAACCGTTTTGAACTGGGAAGTGACATCATCAGATGATATTCACCCCCTGGGGGCCCATCCAGGAAAGAGATGTTTCAACTTCCTCAGTTCCCTTCCTGTGGAAAGTTCTCCCTGTTGTCTCACCTTAATACCACATGTCAGTACTTTCCTGCTGGTGGGGCTGGGTAGGAGGCAAGAGGTTCTAGGACTGAGGCGGCCAAGAAAACTGTAAGCAGCGGGGACATGCTGGTCACACTGCCACTGCATGCCCCGAGCCACACCACTTGCCCCCCAATACTCCTCAACTCTGCTCCTCCCTTTTTCCAAGACGCTGTCATCAGATCCTGCTTTAGAGTCGGGCCCCCAGTGCTGGAAAAGGTACTGAGACCAGCCTGGGCCAAATGAAATGAGAACCTGAAGATTCAGATTCGATTCCCAGCTCATACAGTTCCTTAAGGTGTAATCTGACCTTAGTTTCTTCACCTGTGAG